CGTCATTGGTACTTTAATAGGTATTGCATTGAATCTGTATATTGCTTTGGGTAGTATGGACATTTTGATGATGTTAATTCTTCCAATCCATGAACAAGGTATATGTTTCCATTTGTTTGTGTCTTCCCTGATTTCTTTCTTCAGTGCTGTGTAGTTTTCTGCATACAGGTCTTTTACCTCTTTGGTTAGGTTTATTCCCAGATATTTTATTTTTCTTTTTGCTATATCGAATGGGATTTTTTCCTTGATTTCTGCTTCTGCTGATTCGTTGTTTGTATACAAAAATGCCTTTGATTTCTGGATATTGACTTTGTATCCTGCTGTTTTGCCAAATTCATTAATTAGTTTGAGCAGTTTTTGGGTAGAGTCTATAGGATTTTCCATGTACACTATCATGTCATCTGCAAACAGTGACAATTTTGTTTCCTCCTTTCCTATTTGGATGCCTTTTATTTCCTTTTCCTGCCTGATCGCTGTGGCCAAAACTTCTAATACTATATTGAATAGGAGTGGTGAAAGTGGACATCCTTGTCTTGTTCCTGATCTTAGTGGAAAAGCTTTTAGTTTTTGTCCATTGAGTATGATATTGGCTGTAGGTTTCTCATAAATGGCCTTTATTATATTGAGGAATGTTCCCTCTATTCCCATTTTGCTGAGTGTTTTTATCATAAATGGGTGTTGTACTTTATCGAAAGCTTTTTCTGCGTCTATTGATATGATCATGTGGTTTTTGTCTTTGCTTTTGTTTATGTGATGAATTACATTTACTGTTTTGCGAATGTTGAACCATCCTTGCATCCCTGGGATGAATCCCACTTGGTCATGGTGTATAATCTTTTGGATATATTGTTGGATGCGATTTGCTAATATTTTGTTGAGGATTTTAGCATCTATGTTCATCAGCGATATTGGCCTGAAGTTTTCTTTCTTTGTTGTATCTCTATCTGGTTTTGGAATTAGGATGATGCTGGCTTCATAAAAGGAGTTAGGGAGTTTTCCATCCTTTTGGATTTTTTGGAATAGTCTGTGAAGAATGGGGGTTAGCTCTTCCTTAAATGCTTTGTAGAATTCTCCTGTGAATCCATCTGGTCCAGGGCTTTTGTGTGATGGGAGTTTTTTGATTACTGCTTCAATTTCTTTTGCTGTTATTGGTCTATTCAGGTGTTCTACTTCTTTTTCATTGAGTTTTGGGAGATTATATTTTTCTAGAAATGTGTCCATTTCCCCTAGGTTCTCAAATTTCTTGGCATACAGTTCTTCATAGTAATTTCTTACAATCCTCTCTATTTCTGTGCTGTCAGTTGTAATCTCTCCTCTTTCATTTCTGATTGTGTTTATTTGTGTCCGTTCCCTTCTTTTCTTGATGAGCCTACTTAAGGGCTTGTCTATTTTGTTTATTTTTTCAAAGAACCAACTCCTGGATTCATTGATCTTTAGAATTGTACTTTTAGTCTCTATGTCATTTAGTTCTGCTCTGATCTTGGTTATTTCCTTCCTTCTACTTGCTTTGGGCTGTTTTTGTTGTTGTTCCTCGAGTTCTTGTAGGCGTAGAGTAAGTTCATTTGTTTGAAATGTTTCTGTTTTCTTTAGGTAGGTCTGTGTTGCTATAAACTTCCCTCTCAGGACTGCCTTGGCTGTATCCCATAAGTTTTGGGTTGTTGTGTGATCATTTTCATTTGTTTCCAGAAACTTTTTGATTTCTTCCCTAATTTCATTCTTGACCCATTCATTGTTTAATAGCATACCGTTCAGTCTCCATGATTTTGGGTGTTTTGGGTTTTTTTCCTTTGGGGTTGGTTTCCAGTTTCAGTCCCTTGTGGTCAGAGAAAATGCTTGGTATGATTTCAATATTCTTGAATTTGTTGAGGCTTGTTTTGTGCCCTATCATGTGATCTATCTTTGAGAATGTACCATGTGCATTTGAAAAGAATGTGTATTTAGCTTCTTTGGGGTGAAGAGCTCTGTATATATCAGTTAGGTCCATTTCATCAAGGGTGTTGTTTAATGCCGCAATGTCTTTGTTGATATTTTGTTTGGAAGATCTGTCCATTTTTGATAGTGGGGTGTTAAAATCCCCCACTATAATTGTGTTGCTGTCTATATCTTTCTTGAATTCCTCTAAGATTTTCCTTATATATTTTGGTGCTCCTATGTTGGGTGCGTATATATTTATGATGTTAATGTCTTCTTGGTGGATTCTTCCCTTGAGTATTATGAAGTGACCTTCTGGGTCACTCTTTATGGCTCTTTTTTTGAAGTCTATTTTGTCTGATATGAGAATTGCTACCCCAGCTTTTTTTTCTTGTCCATTTGCTTGGAAAATTTGTTTCCAGCCTTTGATTTTTAGTCTGTGATGGTCTTTTGTCCTGAGGTGGGTCTCTTGTAGGCAGCATATGTGTGGGTCATACTTTCTTATCCATGACGCTATTCTGTGTCTTTTGATTGGAGCATTTAATCCATTTACATTTAAGGATATTATTGATAGGTACTTATTCATTGCCATTTTTGTACCTGTGTTCCTCTCTGTCTGTCTCTTTTCCTTCCTTTCCTTAAAGCAGACCTTTTAGTATTTCTTGTAGAGCTGGCTTGGTGGCAGCAAATTCTTTTAGACTTCTTTTGTCTTGGAAGCTCTTTATTTGGCCTTCTATCTTGATTGAGAGCCTTGCTGGGTAAAGTAGCCTTGGTTGTAGGCCTCTGTTTCTCATTACTTGGAATATTTCTTGCCAATCTCTTCTTGCCTGGAGTGTTTCCATTGAGAAGTCAGTGGCTAACCTTATTGGGACGCCCTTATATGTTATTTCTTTTTTCTCCCTTGCTGCCTTTAAGATTCTCTCTTTGTCTTGGAAGTTTGCCATTTTAATGATGATGTGTCTTGAAGTGAGCCTCTTTGGGTTCCTCTTGAATGGGACTCTGTGAGATTCCTGGATTTGTGTGACTTTTTCTTTTGTCAAATTAGGGAAATTTTCTCTCTTTACTCTTTCAAATATGTTTTCTATCCCTTGTTCTTCTTCTTCTCCTTCTGGTATTCCTATTATTCGGATATTATTACGTTTCATATTGTCTTGCATTTCTCTTAATCTCTCTTCATTCTTTCTGAGCCTCTTTTCCCTTTCCTGTTTGAGCCATATTTCTTTGTCTCCTCATTTTGGCAGCCTCCCTGTGTTTATTTCTGTGTTAAGTAAAGCTGCTATGATCTTGGTAGTGTGGCCTAATATAGTAGGTTTCCTGTAGGGTCCAGTGGCATAGTCTCCCCTATCAATGTGTGGGTACTTGAAGTATGCCCTTCTTGTGGGCTGAGTACAACTCCTCTTGTTGTTCAGCCTTGATTGCTGTTGGCAGGTCAGTGGGAGGGATGTATCCAAGACAGTCAAGCTGCAAGGACTGTTTTTGACTTCTGACCACCAGCCTCCACCCTCTGTGGATGATCCCCTGTGCAGGAGCAGGGTGGTACTCGAGTGTGCTCTATAGCTGTCCACTGGGTACACAAGCCCTGGGATTTCTTAGGTGGTGCAGGCCAAGGTGAGCCCTCTCCTGTGTTCTTCTTGGGGCCACCCTGATGGCCCCAAGAAGAACACAGGAGCTATCTGCAAATTGCTTCTACTTTTGCAGGGCTTCAAGGTTCCCAGGTGAAGCCAAACTATGAATCTAGGTTCTCTGCTGCTAGTGCCAGACCTACAGCCGCTTAGCAAGAGGTACCAGGGCTGACGGCTCACTGAGGCTGGCTGTTGCTTGTCTGAGAGAATTTAGGAAGTTGTAAAGCATGTGCCAAGAGCAGCCTTTCCTATGGAAAAGCCACTGTTAACTAAAATTTGGGTGGGGCAGAGCCCAGGGGATCTCTAAGGTGGGGCAAACAGTGTTAGCCAAGTTGATGGAGTCTCAAAAGTGTCCTGACTGCAGGCTCTGTGGTTCGGTGGGGGGAAGATTCGGAAAAGTAACAGTGGCCTCTGTCCACCTTTCTATCTGAGAGAAAGTTGTCCCCTAGCTCTTGCCTTGATGCCAGAAACTTCAGTTCCACCCCATATGCCAGTGGTGCCTTTTAAGCTGCTACCCTGGTGCTAGAGTACAGAGGGAGTCCCAAACACTGCTTGGGACTCCAGCAGTGTCTTCCACCAGCACAATGTCTGCTGGGTTTGCAGCCAGAATTATGGGGACTTATCTTCCTGGCACCAGAACTCTCGGCTGGGTGGGGGGCCTGGTGTGGGGCTGGGACTCCTCACTCCCGAGATACCCCTCCTGAGTTTTTATCTACCACACATGGATGTGGGACCAGCCCATTCAGTGTCTCCACATCTCTACATCTCCTACCGGGGTTAATGTGGTTTCTTTAAATTATTGGACTTCCATGCAACTCAATTTCTGATAGTTCTGAGTGATGGCTATTCTGTAGTTTCATTGTAATTTTGATGTGGTTATGCAAGGAAGCAAGCCGTGTTTACCTACACCTCCATCTCTTGACTGTAAGGCTCACAATTTACTACTAATTTTTTTAAATTTAAATTTTCTTGATAAAGACCTAGTCTTAAAATTTATTAAGTGAATGCTCATTTCTATAAACTATGGATTATGACATCCTTCACTTGCCTATTGCTAACCTAGCACGGTATGGAAAGGTGCAAAAGGTGAATTGAAATTAAAATCAGAAATTGCTTACTTTATTAGGTTTAATAAAACATGATTGAGGAAAACATAGAACACATGATTATACGGAGGTGTTTACATGTGTATATTTTAATATACCATACAATTTAGGTTCTCATGCTGCTTTTCATTTTGTCTAATAGTAGTATTGTTATAAATATATAAAATTGGGGCTGGAGCACTTACTTTTGAGATAGTCACTATCAGATACTGAATATCAAGCCATATTACTTACTATGCTATTGACTCTCCTATCAAATATAACAAGAATAAAATAGTGCTCGACATATGTTATCAGTAATCTGACTTTTCTATAAATAGAAGAATGTAACAATCCTTTGTAAATTTTATCTGTCTTTCAGATTAACAAATAGAAATATTATACACAAACCTGCAGAATGGACCTTAATTGCTGTGGTGTTGCTGTCATTGTGAGTACTCTCAGATTTTAACTCAAATAAATATGAAGAATTTTGATTAGGGAAAAACATAGTTGTTCATTGATTTTATAGACATCCTTAGAAAATGTTGTTCCTCTCTTTTGTGCCTTATTTTTCTTTCCCTTATAATAAGTAACTTATATAAAGTGATAAAGCTATATTTTGATAAGCTTTAATCATTCTCTGTATTTTTTTACTATCTTTTTTCTGGAGGGCCCTTTTCATCACAAATATTATCTTTTAAAACACAAGAACATCATCCCCATGTGGTATATATATAGAATAATCCTTCAGTTTTATTTTTAAGAGTGCATTTTATTAACACTAAATGGGCCTCATTTTAAATCTAAGTTTTTATCAACATATCTACTGCCATTTCATTTTCCTTCAACATATTTTATCATTGACAGTTTCAGAAAAGTTTCATTTTCCAAATTAATTTGTGTCCTTAAAGTATATTTAATAGAACTAAACACTACACAAGCACGTATAAAACATTTAATACTCATGTATCTTTTAAGAAATCACTAGTGGTTTCTAAGGATGTCTTTCAGTAGGGTTAAAACCATCGAATTAAGTGTAGTGTTTTTCAGCTTGAATTGCAAAAGTATTTTTTGAGGACTGTTCATTACTGCATTATCGTTGCTCCTGGGTACTTCTTAGGTTATTGAAGCCCATAGGACGTTGACTACATAGCGGACACTCACAGGTCAAGACGTGTTACGCGTCAGCCACACAGCATCTCCAGCCCTGCCTTCTCTTCCTTTGATATTACTTTGGTCTGACATGTTGTTCTTGCTTTCCTGCCCCTCAGAAGGCTGTGCTGGGAGACGTTAGAGTAGGCTTCACTGAGCCGGCACTCATGTCACCCAGCCGGATACCACGCACATGACTCATTAAATCAGAACACAGAAAACAACTTTACTTGAATGCCCTGATATAAATTTTTTATCAACCAAAAGAACAATTTTTTTTTATCATTTCTACTATTCAGTGTTCCAGTTGAATTGGTTATTTGTGAAACGGATCTTACTAATTTTTTAGAAAGTTCTTTCCACTTTATGAAATTCGTAAATATTTTGGTTATGGCAAAAAAAAATCAGTATCTCTGCTCACCCACCATATCCTATGCCTTTTAATAAACCCTCACAGATAACTGTTTAACTGTACTTCTGCAATTCATTATACTAAAGAGGAAGTAACTCTTTTGGTTGACAAGTCAGAAGCCGAAGTCCAGCAGTAATCTCAGAATCTTGCTTTCTAAGCCAGTAACTGGAAGTATTATCTTAATGAGCAGCTGCTTACTAAGAACACATGTTAGGCCCTACTTGTTTTTTTGTATCAAATTCTTTCCACATCTCCAGAATGTATAGCAAGGATCAAATAAAGTGTGTAAAATGAAATAATAAAGGCTGCCATAAAATTTCATATTGGTTTTTCCATACAAAAATAAACCTCTAGTGTTTGATTTTTAGTAGAGGCATCCCTGTGGCAAAAAATACTGAAAGCTTTCCTAGTCCTTTTATGTACTATTTGACTTTCCTAACTTTGAATATAGTGTAGGGAACCTCTTATTTCAAGGGTCAGTGACCCATAAAAATAGTCACTTAATTCAGTTCCAGAAAGGAGCTGCACACATCTTAGATGTCTTGCATGTTTCACATTGTGCAATTGGTCTTGAGGTTTTAGCAGTGAACACTGACATTCCTTTTGTCATTTGCCTTGAACCCTTTCATTACTCACTAACCCCTACCCATCTTCTCCTAGTCCTTGGTCCTTTTGATACCTAGACAACTAAAATTTTTTCCAGTTAGCACCTTTTTTGCTTCCCCCCACCCCAACCCATCTTTGGCTTTAAAAAAAAATCTTCAGCCCTGGCTGGTGTTGCTCAGTGGATTGAGCACCAGCCTCTGAACCAAAGGGTTGCCAGTTTAATTCCCAGTTAGGGCACATGCCTGGGTTGCAGGCCAGGTCCCCAGTGAGGGGTCAAGTGAGAGGCAATCACACATTGATGTTTCCCTCTCTTTCTCCCTCCCTTTTCCTCTCTAAAAATAAATAAATAAAATCTTTTAAAAAAATCTTCGGTCACTATAGACACAGGGTCAGATGGCACTTTCTTGATTTTTGTCTTTCAACTCTTATTTTCTTACAATTCTAACTTTTGCCATTGGCCCTTCTTCTAAGTTGTCACTCATCATTTCCATTCTGCATTTGCATTCTGTATCTTCAGTTAGCTAAATCTCCTCATTCTTTGGTCATTAGGTCCTAAGACTACTGTGTCCTGCCCCCATATTATTTTATTTCTTATTTCCTCTTTTCTCAGAAAGTCCCCTTTGGTTTTTCATATTTCTGCCCCTGCCACCACTCCCACCACGGGAATCTGTGGCTCAAGTGAAATCCCTTTCAATCTCAGTCTCATCCTTTTATTACCCTTTTAGTATAAATATCACTATATGAAATGAGGATAAAGTGAAAATACATGTCCTTCATGTTAAAATTAATGCCATTGATTTCTATAAAGTAGAATTATACTTTATATTTGTACCTCTTTCTTCCCACTTCCAGTTCACCATTACTTAACAAGGCCCTTTGTCATTAGGGAAAGAAAATCTAGGTATGAGGGCTAGCATTGCATAAAGAACTTTAAACACAGTGAAAACCTGGAGATTTTTTCTTTTAATTTTTATTCATTGATCTTAGAAAGAAGAGGGGGGTGGATAGAGAAAGTGAGAGGCAATCACACATTGATGTTTCCCTCTCTCCCTCCCTTTTCCTCTCTAAAAATAAATAAATAAAATCTTTTTTTTAAAAAAATCTTTATAGTCACTATAGATACAGGGTCAGATGGCACTTTCTTGATTTTTGTTTTTCAACTCTTATTTTCTTACAATTCTAACTTTTGCCATTGGCCCTTCTTCTAAGTTGTCATTCATCATTTCCATTCTGCATTGGAAACATTGATTTATTGTTCCACTTATTTATGCATTCATTGGTTGCTTCTTGTATGTGTCCTCACCGGGGATTGAACACTCAGCCTTTGTGTATTAGGGTGATGCTCTGACCAACTGAGCTACTCAGCCAGGGCCAATATGGAGATTTTAGATACCCAAAGAGACAGGCATATATAGAGAAAGGAGGTAACACACTCATATATATTTGTGTATGGATTGTCCGTACTTGACTAGGAGTGGTAACACAACCATTCAGCCTTTTATCAGTGCCACTAGGCTTGAACACAGGCACACACGGGACTTCTTCTTTTAAAATACTTAACGACTCAGAAAACCTTCACATCTACTCTCGGATTTTCAAAGGAATTTTTTTAGTTATTGTTTGTAGACATTTGTGGAATTTATGTTAAAAAAATGAACTTCTTAAAAAACTTTGTAGCCAGGGAAAAGATTCTGAATGGTGGTTGTAGTCATTGAAATGAGTGTAATAAGATAATATGTTCAGTATTATTACAACAATGCTACTTTTCTTTGTATATGAATATTGCAAAGTATTTGTATTATTAGTGTTTGTTTAATGCATGAATGCTGTTTTCAAAATTCTTCATGAGAATTTAGAAAAGGGTACATACAGGGTAAGGCAAAAGTAGGTTTACAGTTGAGTATGCAAAACACAGTTTATTCTTGTATTATTAATTATTGTATTATTTTCCATAGAAACAACCATAAACCTACTTTTGCCCCACATTGTGTATACTTTCGTAGTTTCATTAGTATGTTGCTGTACAGGCTCACATCTAACTCTTGTTAGAGAAAAAAAGTCAACATTTTGAGCAAAACATGATATTTCAGTAGAGTGAAAGCTGGGTCTTGAATTTTCACATCTGTATTCTGAAAAGTAGATAAGGCGTTTCCGTAGCAAATCGTCTTTTCCTGGTAACTTCGGTTATGCTTTCCCAGATGTGTTCATATTAAAAAATTGGAACTACAATGTGTAATTTATCAGTGTATACTGATAAGAATGTTATACCCATAAAATCTAAGAAGGAAATTGATCAAATCAAATTGCTACATTTGAGCTTCGCACAGTCATTGAAATGCATCTATATGATGCATTTAGACATCAAGTGGAAATAGACATCATGATCTATTTCCACTTCATTTAGATTTCTCACTACTCTCATAGGACTTGACTGGCCAGTGGGGCTGCAACATTTTTTGATATTTATATTATGTATTCAGATCTTAAATAGTTACCAAGAGCATAGGGAAAGACCTCTTTAAAATTTTTTATTGTATTTTTTTACATTACCCTTTAGTCCCCTTATACCTCCCACCCCCAGCAATCACCACACTGTTGACCGTGTCCATGATTTTTTTCCTTTTTGTTCGGTCCCTCCACCCCTAACCTCCCTCCCACCACTAGCTGCATCCTGCTTTCCGTCTATGAGTCTGTCCCCATTTTCCTTGTTAGTTCAATCTATTCATTAGATTCTTCCACATATGAATGAAATCATATGGTATTTATCTTTCTCTGGCTGACTTACTGCACTTAGCATAATGTTCTCCAGGTCCATCTCCAATGTTGCAAAGGGTAAAATTTTCTTCTTTTTTGTAGCTGAGTTGAATTCCATTGTATAAATGTCCCATAGTTGTTTTATTGGGGGACATTTGGCCTGCTTCCATATTTGGTGATTGTAAATAACGTCGCAATGAACATAAGGGTGCTTATGTTCTTTCGAATTAATGTGTCGGATTCCTGTGGATATATTCCCAGAAGTGGAATCACTAAGTCAAAAGGCAGATCTGTTTTTAATTTTTTGAAGTATCTCTATACTGGGTAAAGACCTTTTAAAAGCAGAGCTTAAGTAGTATACATTCACTTAATAGTGAAGGAATTAATGTCTCTAGTTTTCTTTTTTTATTATTTTTAAAATTATTTGTATTGATTATGCCATTACAGTTTTCCCAATTTTCCCCCTTTATCCCCCTCCCCCTGCCCCCCTACCCTCCAGCATTCCCCCCCTTAGTTCATGCCCA